CCCACTTATTGAATTCATTGAACTGTTATGAATAGAAATGTAATGACAGTTTATGATGGTAAAATTGATCAGGGAATGCTGGATGAACCATGGAGAAATTTCAGTAACACTTTACTTAAAGCAGTCATTATACTGCCTTTCACATAGCTTCACAATGCATTATAATGCTTTCATGAAGAATTGCAAACACGGTTATACGTAACCTTTTATAAAAAGGCATAACATTATAAAAAGACGTAACACATCGGGGCCGGCCCTACGCTGGGGCAAGAAGGGGCAACGCCCCCTTAAACAAACGTCCTGCCCCCTTAAATCAAACTTTTAGAAGTTGAGGAAGAAAATAATAGATGACCCACAAATTGAATATAGACAATATTTACCACAGTAGCTGAAAAATCCACTGAAAAAGGCACAAACGAGATAAGTTTCACTTCTTGTTCGCTCATTCCCTCCGTGTTCTGTTTGTGCGCGGGCTCACATAGCACTCGGCAGAGATCCCCCCACTCACCCTCCCCCCAGCTAAACATCCAATCACTGTTAGTATGCAAATGAGCCAGTTTCTCAGTAGGCAGGGCAGAGTGAAATAAGCTCCAAAAGCATCTGGCTGCAGATCTCCACCAAGAGGATCTCCACTAGAGGGACGGAAACACGTGATCTCCACAAGAGAGTCTGGACATGACGTTATGCAAACTTACGCCATGGAGGCAGTACCAGATATCACATGATCTCCACGCACAGCCTGGATTTGTCAGTGGGAGAGTGTTTAGCTTTGTCGAAAAAAAAAAGTGGGTAGAACAAGCAACAACGGTAGCATTCGATCGGTGATTTTTTTTTCTCTTCTTCTCCGAATTTAGCTTTAAATTGAATACTTAAGCTTAGACTGACTGTGTCTACTGAAAAAGAAAAAAAATATTTATAAATTTATAAATACATTTATAAATAACTGTCTTTTGCGCACAAGTTATTATTTGGAAGGAACAGGTTAGCTGCGTATAGCTGTCATGTTGTAAGAGGTGTATTTCAGCACGCCATACTATGTTTGCTAGACCTGGCATTAGGGTACAATAAGATACAATAGCCTTGCAATTAATATTACTGGAATGCGTAAATACAACGCTGCCGCGCACTACTTTGACATTAAGGCTGAGGTATAGTCCGTGTGAATGGTCGCGACAGGCGTGAAGCGCCAAGAACAATACTTTTTTCCTTCATTATCGGTAGTCAATAATAAAACAGGTATACACAGGTACAATAAATAGCTGTCCGTAATGACAAGAAATGTTAGGAGAACTTGGTGAGGCGAACAAATCAACAAACCGAGTAAAGTGGAAAACATATATAGTATATCTTGACGCAACCGAACCAAACATGAGTGTCAACAATATTAAAGATGCACAAAATACAGCCTGCGTGCAATAAATTGTGACCAAGTTATATAAGTTATTATGTAGTATTTTTGATTATTTGAATATTATTAGCAAATTGACGGAATATAGGGTTATGCATATTAATATTGACACTGATGTTTTGTTCGGTTGTGTTAAAACAGATTATGTTTGCAACTTTAATCGGTTTGCTGATTTGTTCACCTCACTGAGTTCAATTAACATTTTTTGATATTACTGATGTCATGCGATAAACGCGGAAGCAGGCGANTGGATGAACCATGGAGAAATTTCAGTAACACTTTACTTAAAGCAGTCATTATACTGCATTTCACATAGCTTCACAATGCATTATAATGCATTCATGAAGAATTGCAAACACGGTTATACGTAACTTTTTATAAAAAGGCATAACATTATAAAAAGACGTAACACATAGTCATGTGTATTATGCATTATGAATGCTTTATGAAAGTTTCTACCATAATCCACTACCAATACCTTTATAATGCAGCACAAAACATACTTAATTCTTATACTAACCATTATTATGCATTAAGAAGGTATTTATAGTGTTCATAATGCATGAGAAACATAGCCTTTTTATAAATATTTACAGTATAGCCATGTTTATTATAGTTCATGAATGTGTTGCAATAAATTATAAGAACAGTTATTAAGCTGTATGAATATGGGCTTCATAGAAAGTGTTACTGAAATTTTGTAGTCGCTAGTGGTGTTAAAAGATGTGATGGCAAAGCAACACCTGAAAGAAGCTGAAACAGAAAACATGGTGAAGCATATCTGGAAAACCATCTTGTGTGTCTGCTGTGGTGGGGGGGGGGTTATCAGGACAAATATATCAGCCCTCAGGGGCCCAGTCAAAAAAAGGTTTGAATACCAGTACCTTAAATTGTTCTGTGTAATTATCACTCACGGAAAGGTAAATTTACGGACTATCAGAAGTACTCAACTGGCGGACTCCAGACAAACAAAATTTAATACAGAACTGTTCTTAATAAATTAACAGGAACAAAAACCAGAATTAATAACAATGAATACACCTTTGTGGACAACAATCCAGATGTGAATCCTCACATAACATATTCAGAGCCAAGAAACTGCATCAAGCACAGTCGTTAGCCAACTTTCAGCCTGTTGTCTCCACACTTAAGAAGTAACTTTGAAAGGGGGAGATGTGAACATCCCCAGCAGCTAATGCAAGGCTGCCAGACTGTATTAGTTTTCATTCCAGCCAATGAATGGCTTGTCTTAAAATGATAATGTTAATTATTTCAGAAAGGATTCTGGAATGAAAATCATGGACGGAACAGGACTGGCAGGAATTTATTTACAGACATTTTAAACACTGGGGTCCATACAGATCTGTACAGTACAGTGAGAGCTGATTACAGGAGTGATTCAGCTCTCACAACTGACAGTTGGCTGATATGACACAAGAAGGTGCTCATGCAGCAGCTACCTAAAATAAAAGGATGCATTACTGGATGAATTCTTTTAAAACAGAGAATGTTTGATTTGTGTAACTTTGAAATAAAATGCTTTATAATATTAAAGTATTAGTCCATGCATGGACAGCTTGCATTCAGGATAAGCTGATTTACTGACTGAGCCATTATGTGGAGTGTCAGAAAGGACTATCCTTAGTATTTAATTTACAGTACGGAATACCCAGTAATACTGACCTGAGTACCTCCAGCTTACAGCGTGTAAAACCCAGTAAT